CCCCAAAACCCCAAAACCCCAAAACCCCAAAACCCCAGAATCAATAATTTAGGTTGATTTTAAATATTTTAAATTAAGAAATGCCAACTGATAACCTAAGAGGGATTTCCCTAAGGGATAAGTACAAAGGGATGGGCAAAAATAGTGATAATAACTACCCAGCCCAATTGTCTCATAAGCGGCAGAGAGATCATCCTCAGATTAACAGCTATAGAGGGCCAGAAGACAAGTAATCACATTATGAAATTTATTTTTAGGGAAAATATTGGAAATAATGTGTTAGTGAAGCAAGAATATAATGATGATTTGATGACTTTCGAACCTGAAGATGGGAAATCTTACGAAAGCGATCTCCAGAGTTCATATAGAAACAACAAGTATGAGCATGACACTAACCAGGACACTCAGCATCCTTCTAATGGGCTGTCGAATCTCCAGAGCCCACAGATTGAGCCAAGGTATTTGCAATTTGAGAATAGCAATCCAGTTTGAGGTAATTTTAAGAAACTGATCAGGTTTAGGATCTGCTAGGCTTCAGACTGCTCCAGAATATTCAAGAGCAGAGGAGTCCTTGGTCTCATATGCTGATAAGTTAAAATAAATATAAACAAGAAAATGAGAGTTTGAGGAAGATGCTGTCTGAGAACAGCTTGGACACCAGACCTATCAAGCCCCAAAAATTCATAGAAAAGCTTGTCGCTCGCTCATTAAGCAATGCCAAAACTCAAGGCAGAGAGAAGAAGGAATCTAGGAACATTGGGCAAGAAAAGGCTATTTTCCAGGACACCCAAGAGACCATGTTCGAGACCTCTCCATTGCGAGACTTTAAGGATGCAAATGCTGGTCATAGGAACAACAACAAGAATCAGATTCTAAAGTATTTAGTAGTGTAATATCTGTAGAAACGAATATAATTTCACAGAGAAATAACTCGTTTATAGTATCTCAGTCAAGTTTCGAGAATACCCATCAGAGAAAGGAAGAGGTAGAAACTAGTTTGAACCTATTGGCAAACTTTACAATTCCTGAGTGTAAATTTTATAGGATAATTCAAGAAATATCTGATCTGTCAACCTGAGCATCCCTGAAGTCGTTCCTGAGAACAAAGACCAGAGTTTTTACGAAGATCATGAACTATTGGAGGTATTAGTTTTTAGATTGACTTTAGAATCCACAAAAATGACTTCAAAAACTGAAGGTTGAGGAAGCAAAGACCAGAAAACTCACCGAGATTGTAGAGGAACTCAAAGTTCAACTCAAAAAGACCAGAAACGAGATCATCATTCTTAGGGAGGAAAAATCTTTAAAGAGGAGGACCAAATCGAAGACGAAGGAGAACAAGAGACAGAGTTTTATTCTCAACTTAAAAAATCCTAAAATTCACACCACATTCTCAAAGCAGGGGAGATGAGTAATGAGATTGCCTAAATTTTAGAATTCAAAGAAGACAATTGTGAAGAGTAGTAACAAATGTATTGAACGCGAACTGATGAGAAATCCTTCAAAATATAAATTTGCGTAATTATAGTCCATTCTAACCTCTTTAGTAAGGTATCTGGTAGAAGAACGAGCAAGCCAAGATTTGTGAAAATGTCAAAATCAGGTAAACCTGGGAGTGAGTACAAGAACAGAAGAGGAAGTTCTAGAAGGACAGCCAGAAATCCTAGCAAGGAGATTAAATATTAAATACAAATTATTTTCAAAATATTCAATTTTAAGAAGAATTCTTGGGGTTTTGGGGTTTTGGGGTTTTGGGGTTTTGGGG